AAGAATTTTGTTAGAACTAAATCTTTGTTTTGCCTTACTATGTGAAAAAACAAACCGACCTTCAATTTCCAGTGGAAACTGGAAATACATTGTTAGGCTCTCATATCAGTCTTTTTGGTTTTGTTTGGTTTTTTTCTCCCAGCAGCAACACTTCTTTGATGATGAGGACAGAACAGTTCCAAGTACACCAACTCTTGTAGTTCCACATCGTACAGATGGGTTTGCAGAAGCCATTCAGTAAGTAGATGTAAAGGGGGAGAGGGAGCCCAAACCACCACAACATCTATTTTTCAGCGGAGTGAGAATGAAATGAAATGAACTTGTGATTGGAGTAATGTGCTAAAACTTGGTAATACTATGATAGATGACTGCATCTACAAATAAGTGATCATTGTTTCAGTTGTGTGTCATAACTTACTAGCCAATGAGGAGGCAGATAATCTCCAATGTACAGTAACTTACTGATTTAAGATGAGATGAAGCAAAAAAATAGGTTCTTCTATTTAATTTCCTTCTTCCTCTTCACTCTCCTTCCCCCCACCCTGTTAATATAACTGGTAGAAGCAGGAAAAGTTATCCCCATTTTTGGCTTTGGGATGTTCTGGACACATTTAGCAATCCACTTAAAATTGTGAGAATTCATAGGATGAATAAGTAAAGACTATTCTCTTCAGGACTGTTTTACTGATTTTGAATACAGTCCAAATAAGTTTGAGAAACTAATTGCTATTTAATTAGCAGTAGTTGAGCTGACTTTTATGGTCAGTGTTAATTAATTCTGTCTTATGCATAGTTCTCTTGTTTTGGTTAAAATGTTGTCCTCTCCTCAAATTCCTGCAAAATTCCTTAAATCTTTATTTTGATAGTTCCCCTCAGGTCGCTGGAGTTCCTAGATTCAGATTTGGACCACCTGAAGATATGCCACAAACTAGCTCAAGTCATTCTGATCTTGGTCAGCTTGCATCACAAGGAGGTAAACCATTTCTGTATTTCCATGGTTGTTAGAGTGAAAAAAAAATAATGCAGGCAAAATGCATTTCTACTTGTGGTGCGGGAAACCTGCAACTTTTAAAATTGCAGAGAACACTAACAAGAAGTGAAAAAGTGTTTCTTGAAAGCTGCTACATTTCTCCTTGTAATATGGTTCAAAATGTAGAATGATTCTGTGGGTTTGTGAAGCAGAGAAGCTGAAATTTTAAGTAGAACACATTGCCTGCTAGACACAAGAAACTTCATATAAAGAGAAGTGAAATAGTGAAGGGAATGGTTTTTAACTTTATTTTTACGGTTGACTGTAGATTTCCTTTACTAAAACATAAGGGGAAAACAGCAAATCTAAAAGAAATCTTTGGGACATATCCTCAGCTGCTCAGAGGTAGCCAGGCAATTTGGTTTGCATAGTCCTTGTTGTTGTCCTGAATTAGTCCCTTTCCCCTGCATCTCTTGTCAGCATGGAACAGTATGCTTTTCTTTGAAGAAAAATAATGGCGTAAGAGAAGGATGAAAGTAAAATAAGTAATGTTATTTTCATCAAGGTTATTAGCTTTCAATAAATTATAATTAGCCTTGCATTAATTTAACTTAATTGCAGTAAGTCAAAACAAAATAACATGAATCTCCATATATAAATACAAATTGTTGGGTTCCATCAAGTGTTCAGAAGGAAAAGAGCAGTTAATCTGTTTTTTTTAGCTGCTATTTTAATTGTCACTAAAACTTTGCTTTGCAGGTTTAGGCATGTATGAAACCCCACTATTCCTTGCTCACGAGGAAGAATCAGGTGGTCGTAGCGTTCCCACAACACCATTACAAGTAGCAGCACCAGGTAAGTGGCAAGAAATTTGCAGGCTGAAGTAAAGGCTGCAAACCTTGACTTCCCAGAAAAGAATTAGCTTATTGTTGCTACAGTGCTTATTGTTATGCCTGGAGTATTCTTATCTGCCTAAGATTTCCATAGATTTTATGTAGAAATGAAAGCTAACTCAGTGTTAATTAAACTACCTTTCCTGTACAGTGACAGTTTTTACTGAAAGCGCGTCAGCAGATGCTTCAGAGCACGCTTCTCAGTCTGTTCCAATGGTTACAACATCTACTGGCAATCTGTCCACCACTGCAGAGGCTGGAGTGGGTGATGATGGGGATGAAGTTTTTGCAGAGGCCGAATCTGAAGGGTAAGCTATGACTTGTTTGGCTCACTACAACTTGATGTCATGTTAGTTTTAATGATTTGTTTTCATCCAAGTATGCCTGTGATTCATTTTCAGTTTAACCTCTTCTGGGAGGAAGGACAGATCAAACAGGATTTAGTAATTTTGTGAAGTAGCACAATCTGACCTTTTCATCTAAAACCAAAGGTTTCATCTGAATTACTCCTTCTGACTTAACATAGCTAATATAGAAGTCACACGAAAAAAAAAAACAACTGTATTTTTAAAGAAAACAGAGTGCTCTCCAGTAGTCAAATACTGATGGTAAAGGCCCCAGTTTGAAGGACTAGGTTTTGTATAATAAAGGGTAAATTGACCCTGTTTGTTAACAGAGAAAAACACTCCTCATTACAAGCAAGCATACATAATGAAGTCATTCAGTTAAGGCAATGCAAGTAGCATGAAGGAAGGGAATAAGCAATTCTTAAGAATTTGATAGACAAATGATTTGTTTTCCACTTTCAAGTGCAATTTTAAATATTTACAATAATTTCTGTATTTTGTATTATGACCAAATATTGCAAATCTAAAAGGGGATAGGTTGTAATTTTATGCCTTTTTTTTTTTAATCTGAGCTTATTGAAACTGTGTGAATACACTTGTATGTTTTTCCTCCCACTCCTTCTCCTCTAGAATTACTTCAGAAGCAGGCTTAGAAATTGATAGCCAGCAAGAAGAAGAATCTGTTCAAGCATCTGATGAGTCAGATCTTCCCTCGACTAGTCAAGATCCTCCTTCTAGTTCATCTGCAGGTACAGGCTAATTGCTGGAAACAGTTGATACATACTATTTCACTAAGTGTGGGACCTTTTTGGACCAGCATCACAAACTGCTGATACCCAAGAAACACAAAATAAGATAGAACTCTTACAGCAAGGTCATGTTTTGCTGCCTTTAGTCTTAATGGCAAGCAATTTTCACTTGGGCTGCAGTAACTAGAGTAGGCTGTAGTAAGAATAATGCTTCGAGGAGCAAAACTTATTGATATATCAGTGATTCCATCCACTGTTATGTTTGATGTCAGATTTAAAATATTTTTTCATTCAATTAAATAGTCAGAGAACAGTAAGTAAGTCACTGTTGAGTTAGCAAGAAGTACCACCAAATGTGCTTGTCTTGAGGCTTTTATTTGTCTTAGAGGTGGTGTCAATGAAATAAGGATACACCTTCACAATTTAAAGTAAATTCGAAAGCATAATGCATATCAAATAATGTAAACATTGACAGTGAAAAACTGTACTAGACACAGACATCCTTTTCTGCTTTTCCACTTCTTCACAGACACAAGCAGTAACCAGCCTAAGCCGTTCCGACGTGTCAGACTTCAGCCACCAACATTAAGAACTGGTGTTCGTGGTCGTCAATTCAACAGGCAGAGGGGTAAGTGTTCAAGGCTGTTCAAATTCAAAGCTTTTCGAACAAATTTTTAGTCCTTCCTTTGGGGACCATATATGAAGTGTACTACTTTATATGCCTGTGTTTGCTTATAATACATTGAATAATACAGCATCCCTGCCCTTGCTTTCAGTATGTTACCCTAAGAGCTCTGCAATTTTGTTTTAGTATGTTAGTCTGAGCATGTTTTAGATAGGCAATCTTTCTACTTAATGTGGCACTTGTTTTTTATTAGTGGAGGGAAAGTAAATTGCAGTAAATCTTAAACTTGGCAAAGTTTTAAAGGAAGATCTTTTAAAAGATGTTAGGACATAAGTTTAGAAATATTTGTTTTTAACATTATATATTAGTTTCTCATTTGGTACATTAGAGGTTCCAGTTACACTGATTTAAAAAAAAAAATTATGGAAGCGTTAAACAGACTTTGTAATGCAATATAGTTAAACCAAAGCAATAAATTATTGTTTGCAATGTTTGTGTTAAAAATTCTTAGATGAATTATATTCAATTTGGCACCATTTTAGTATTGTAGAAGACTTGATACTAGCGTTGAAATGTAGGTATCTGGTGTTTTAAAACAAAAATAAAAGTGAGGAGGTGGACCTAGGATAGATTTTCTTTCTGCCTATCACCATTTCTTTAATGACAAAAGGGAGGGACTAACTGATTTCAAATATGATAAGAATGTTGTTCTTTTGGCACAGGGCCTGAAGTAGGATCACAAGTCAACAATGCCCTTTTAAATCACAGAAATAGAATGTATCCATATCTCAAGGCCCTAGGGGAAGGCAGAGGGGAGAACTTGAACTTTATCTGAAAGGAAATGCTCCCTACAGTAGCAGTTCCTTACAGAAGGATGAGGTATCACAAGTACCAATGGGTGATTAAAAAGGTAAAAAAGATTTCTATTAATTCATTTGTTTTCTTTCCCAACACAGGTGTAACTCATGCAATGGGAGGCAGAGGAGGCCTGAACAGAGGGAATATCAGTTAAATGAACTCTAAAGTAATTACAGATGTGTATACAAAAGTGCCAGTTTGCCTGTGGTTGTTCTAGTGTAATGAAGCCAGAGCTTAAAGCAGTATTTTATACTTAGATTTGTGTGCACACATTTCAATGTCTTTATTAATAAAATTAGACAAAATGTCAACATTCAAATGGCATCTTTTTTGTTAAATCCTCTGCTGTGCATCACTTGCTAGGACAGTTGTACCAGTCTTTGGATACAGTCTTTCCTGTGAGAGCAGTAACAGGTTTTGCTATTCTTTTGCCAACATCCAAACTGTAGTACCGATCTGAAATGAAGATGTGTCAGAATTAAATTTCAGAAACTGCTTAGTACATGGAAAGAATCTTTAAGTTAAAGCCTGCCTTTTAATTTAGGCATGAATAGCAGATTTTCTATTTCCATTCCATATATATGTGGAGGTGAGAGACTATAACAATGAATTTTTGTCCTCAACTTTATTTTTTACGTGTCCTTCTTTGCACTTAGCTAAGTTTTACAATACTGCTAATAATCTGTCCCAAGAAGAGGGAGTAGGGAAGAATACTTTTATACTGCTAGAACATAGATGTAGTCTTTTTGGAAATCAAACAATCTTGCATTGACTACAGAAGTGGGAATTCTGTGGTCCCCAAGTGTGAATGTGCTTATGTTAAGGTTAGGAGTTAGATCATACATCTCATGAGAGATTTACTTTAGTATCCTGTATTTGGATACAGCTAGTTCTTAACGCTTTTTTCTTTTTTTTTTCCTGAATAATACAGAAAATTCTGAGGAATGCTTTCACAGAAGTCAGTGAAAAAACTATCTGTGTGCAGTGGTCCAGGGATTTCAATCTATCACTAATGTAATTCTGCATTTAAGTGTCAGGTTTTTGTCACTTTATAAGCCTGAACGCTTATGGCAATGCATTTTGCAGCTGGCTAGTTTGAGCCATTGTACCTTATTGCTGCTAGTTGTCCTGTAACTCCTGATTTATTTTTTTTTTTTTTAATAGAAACATCTCCCCATTACAGGCAATATTTTAATTCTCAGGACGGTTTAGTAGCGCTTAAAATTGTTCTTGCAGAACCCCAAGCAATAACCTCACACTCCAGAAAGCCGAGAGATTCATAAGCTTCTTTCTTTCCCCTCCCTTAGTCTTCTGAGATACAAAATAACTTGCATTAGCTTTAACTTACTGTAAGAGAAGGCATAATAATCGTAGCCATCTGGCTTATTGTAGTTGGGTAGTGATATAGTTGAATGAATAACTTTCGGGAGCCCTTTCCAGTAGGCATTCATTTTGATTTCCTTACGCAAAACTCCTGCAAGCAAAAGAAAAGTTTGGAGTTGTCGCAGTATGTCTGCTGTAAACTATCATTTGCTTGTATAATCTACAGCAAGTGAGGTACATTGGATTAAAATTTTTTATAGATAATACTTTAAAAAAGCCCAAATGTTGTGTTTCAGAACTACTAAGATTAAAATGGTTGTATAAAAGAAACTTAATAAACGTAAGTTACCAGATGAACGTGGGTTGATTCTGACAGTCTGAATAACGGTTGGCATTCTTACTGCACGTTGGAAGCGTCTCCTTATTACAAGTCTTGGGACATAAGCTGGGTATCTTACAGTAATCTGGGTTCTTCTTTGACACTTCTTAGCTGGTTCTTGTCTGTACACATACTGTTGCATGTTGCCATCTAAAATAGATGTTTGTTTCATTTGGTTAAAAAAATTAACCAACCAAAAACCCAGATAAACAAACAAAACCAACAAAAACCACAATCAAATGAAAGACATACAAAAAAACATAAACACCAAACCACCAACTCTATCAGATATGAAGATGTCACTTTTCATGTCTATTACATGTGATCCATTACATTTTGAGGCAAGTAAAAAACCAAACAGAAAACCTTCATCTCTAAATCCAAGATGAGCTTCTAGGTGCACTGCTCATTACAGTTATTGTAGCAAGTACAATGCCAGGGGAACTGCTTTTGCTGCCATCATTCCTTTTATCAAGGACTCTGTAAGGCCATCGTTTTAGGTTTCATGAGAAGAGGGCTAGAGTCCAAAAAGGGATTTACGTTTCATTGATGTATGGTTTTTAAATCAAGGTAAAAATTCATACATTGGCAGCACATCATTCATACAAGGAAGCACATTAGTTTGAAATAAGAAATGGGGAGGAGATTTCCATACATAGTTAGGAACTAGTAAGATTAAAGCCTTTCTTTCTCTAACCTCAGTCTAAAATAGTTTTTTACTGCCAGATAAAACTTACTCTAATATTTTCCTGGATTCTATCCTTTACAGCCCTCTCCGTTTTAAAAAGCACTGAAACACAAATTTTTAGATCTTCAGGATATTTTTGACTCCCCTAGCACACCTTTAACATCACTTATTTTTTTGAATTTGAGTGAAACACATCTTTTAGTCAAGAGAACTGATGTTTTAATTCCTAAGGCAATTCAAGCACCTCATCTCTGAATTTCTGAAATATGAAACATACCTTTTTTGATAAAATAAACAGATTCTGGTCTATTATTGTATCTTGCAACAGGGAGGGTTGCTACTATTTTTCCACTTAGCCCTGCAAATCCATTTGCAAGAGGTTTGGGATAGCCTTTATCCATAACACCGTTAGTGAAACGCCAGTACAGGGGACCCTGATGATTAAAGGAAAAAAATGAGTAAATTCATTCTTGGTAATTTGAGTTTCAACACAGACATAAAAAATAATCATAACACTAGCATTTTAATAACTATAAAAGTGAGTGGAACCACTACTACATTCATTAAAAACAGGAAGAAAATGTAAACAGATCCTTTTCCAGCCTTTTAACTGCTTTTCAGTGGGGAAAGAGTATCTTAGAAATGAATTATTATAGTGGATACTGAACAAAGCAGTTTGCTTTATAAATCTAGATTTTCATGGGCAGAAAAAAGCTGTTTGGATCCCAGGACTGAATGATTAACTGGGAAGTAACTGCATAATGTCTTTTATGAGATGTGTGTATTTCATTACCTTCTTTCAGGAAGGTAAATGTATTGGGAACAAATTTAGGCTGTTTGGGCAAGGGAAAGGCATGCTAAAATACCTGTATTTTAAACAGTTGGACTTCTTTTGACGTGTGGCCCAATTACTCAATTTCTGTCAATGCTTTGTCTCCTGGCCAGTTACACAGGAAAAAAAGACACTGAATGTAGGTTTTTCCTGATAAGAGGCATCTCAAGGCTCTCACGGGGCGGGGGGGGGTGGTGGTGTGAAGAGTTTTAACTTCACCCACAGAATTTCAAACCCACCACCCTATTTGCAAACGCCTGTATCTATAACACGGGCAATGCAAGGCCCCTCTCCTGTGGAGCTGCTGTTTAAGGACGCTCGTCCGTCCCCGGCTGCCTCTTGCGCCTGTCACATTCGTTCCCCGGCGGGCAAGCTCCCCACCTTGATGAAGAAAGTCTTGCCATCGCAGTTGCACCTGGAGAAGACGGAGTCGATGGGGGACGGGATGCCCCAGCCGTCGCTGATCCGGCGGGGATTGGTCGTTGGTGGGCTCCTGCCGTTCAGCAGCCAGTAGTAGTGACCTGCGCAGCGGGAGGACATAAAGCGAATCGCGCGAGGGAAAGGCACTGCGAACGAGAGCCCCCTCTCCAGCCTCTTCCCAGCTCAGGACGCGGCTGAGGGGGAAGGCGGCTCCTGCACCGGCAGCACCTCCGAGGCGTGGCCGGGCCTAGAGGTACTGGGGCGGGCAGCGGCCTCATGAGTCTCTTCGTGAGGGGTTCGGAACTCTTCAGTGGCTCAGAGGGCAGAGAGATGGGCAGGTGGAGTCCAGGACTGGGACCAGGACCAGGGCAGCCTATCTACCTACCTCGGAAGACGGCCAGGGTGCCGTTCGGCAGCGCCACCATGCCGTCCGCTGGCTTTCCGTTGCACAGGTCCTTCTCATCCTTTGCTGCAAAACAGTGGATTGGGTTTGTTTAACATTCACCAATAATTGAGCTACCCTCCCGCCCCCCCAAGTCCACAGCAGGGTGATGTTCGGGGCTCTCTGTCGTGCAACGGGTTTAATTACTCATTTGAGAGATGTTCCCGGAAAAACTGGCTCTCTCGTTTGGCCCCAGGAGTGCAAGAGCAGCCGTTTACATGACTAAGTATGCATATCTGTGCTTACTGCTTGTCTAAGCACCTGTAATGCAGAAAAAAAAACACCTAGAAATGCACTGCACGCTACCTCTTTTAAATCCTTCATGCTCTGGGATGTTTACTGAGTGCTTGGTAGGTTCCCTTCCCTCTCCATATTTCATTTGTATTTACTCTCACTTAAATATAAAGGAAAGATGAATCTGTTTTGGATAAAAATACAAGTATTTTCCATCTAAAAGCCTTTTTTTTTTTCCTTTTTTTTTGTTTCCAAAATAATTGGAAAACAAATGCCTAAGAACCTGCAGGCTATACCTGATTAAAATGATATGAAAAATGTGGCAAAAAGTGCAGAGGAAAGAGAATACCAGGAAGAGATTTTTTTGTCAACCTTGTGTGATATTTTCTGTATGTGACTACAGAAGACCTGGTTACCATAAGTAATGAATATTCAGCTTTACTCCCTTTCAATGTTTCCACGGAACTTAGAAATTTATCTTCTTTTTCCAGGACTTTTTTTTTCTGCTTGCATCTTCTACAGTACTTGCAGCAAACATTCTTCAGCAAAAAAAATCACATTCTAAACTACATGAAGAATTGACAGAACAACTGAAAACTGAGGTACCAGTATTCAGGATGCTGGCAGCTGCAGCACCTTGGTATGATTTACCTGGTTATGGTTTAGCAGTGGGACAGAAGTAACATGTTCTTGTGACACTGTGTAGAACGCACTTGCATGTCCTTTACTCGTGTGTTTTGTTGTACTCTGGTGGAGTTATTGTTGCTTTTGTACCTACTGAAATGCAATTACCTTGTGTTTCTCCAGGTAAAATTGGCAAGTTGTCAGTTTGTATTAAAGGCTTGTTTATCTCGGGCTCCTCTACTGGCAGAGTTTCAGGGTCAGCTGGATGAGGCTCTTCTCTAGTGTCAGTAATCTCCTGGAAATGTATAGCTGGCTTTGATGTCCCTTTAGAAACAATAAACATTTCTTCTATTGTGTCTTTTTTATCTCTTGTAGTGGTTTCTTTGGTAACTGGAGTTTCCTCTCCTTTGTCAATACTAGGGGCCTTTTCAGCGGAATCAGGCATTTCTTCTTCAGGTGTGACATTAGTTTCTTTGGTGGTCGTTACCTCTTTTTTACCAGCTGTTGTCTCTACAATAACACAAGTATTACTTATGCTCTCTTTAGCTGCTTCTACTGTCTGCTTAGTTTCTGTAGTAGCATCTTTTTTATTTGTTACTACAATTTCCTTGGGTTTAGGAGTTGAATCTGGTTTGGCTGTTGTTGTCAACACAGTGGGCTTGGGCAGGGGAGTTGTAACTGCTGCAGCTGCTTTTACACTCTCTGTCCCCGTGGTGCTTTCTTCTTTCCTAGTTGTGAAAGTCTCTTTTGGCACGTGAGTCTTGTCCTGTTTAGCAGAGGTTACTTCTTTCTCTGCAGCTGTTGTTGTAGTCTTGTCTATGACAGTTGTTTCTGTTGCAGCTGCTGTAGTGACAGTTTGCTCAGCTGTAGGAGTTGTGTTTGGAATATCATCCTTACCTTTAGGAGGGTCATCTTGTTTAGCTGTTCTCTCTGAAGTTACAGTAGTTGTGTCTTTCCTACTTGTTCTTGTTAAAATGTCTTTAAGCACAGTAGTTTTGTCTTTCTTGGGTGTTGTTACCTCTTTGTTCACTGTGGTCGTTTCTGTTTTAGTTGTTGTCCCTTCAGTTATAGGAGTAGTAACAGTTTTAGCTGTTTTGTCTTTTTTGTCAGTTACTGTTATAATCTCAGTAGTCCTAGTTTCAGTCACCACCGTCTTTTGAACGCCTGTAGTCGTGTTTTTCACAGTTGTGCTGGTTGCTACTTTGGGTGCAAAAGTTGTAATTTTCTTCTCAGTTGTTTCTAAAACTGTTGCATCCGATCCAGGTATGGGTTTTTCTTTTGTAGTTGTTGTGACAGTCACAGAACTTTGAGTGCTCATGTCTTTAGCAGTTGTTACTAATCCAGGACCAGTAGCTGTTACTTCCATAGATGTTGTTTTCTGTATGGCAGTGGTGTTAGCCTCAGTGCCTGTAGGGGTAGTCCCCTTGACCCTAGGGGCTGTGGAAGATTCCACCTCTTCTACTTTAGGGGTAGAGGGAGAGTCTGCCTGGATCATTGATGTCTCTGGGGTTATGTCTTTTACCTTAGGGGTGGTGGGAGATTCTGCCTTGGTCGTTGGTGCCTCTGTGGCAGCTGGGCTTGTGTCTTCAGGTTTGGGAGTGGTGGGAGACTCTGCCTTGGTTGTTGGTGCCTCTGGGGTGGTGGAAGAGTCAGCCTTAGTTGTAGGTGCCTCTGTGGCCTCTGGGGTTGTGTCTTCAGGCTGGGAGGTGGTGGGAGAGTCAGGCTTGGTTGTAGGTGCCTCGGAGGCCTCTGGGCTTGTGTCTTCAGGTTTGGGGGTGGCAGAAGATTCTGCCTTGGTTGTTGGTGTCTCTGGGGTAGTGTCTTCTGCTTTGGGGGTGGTGGGAGAGTCAGCCTTGGTCGTTGGCGCCTCTGGGGTTGTGTCTTCAGGTTTGGGAGTGGTGGGAGATATTGCCTTGGTTGTTGGTGCCTCTGGAGTAGTGTCTTCAGGTTTAGGAGTGGTGGGAGAGTCAGCCTTAGTTGTAGATGCCTCAGTGGCTTCAGGGGTTGTGTCTTCAGGTTTGGGAGTGGTGGGAGAGTCAGCCTTGGTCGTTGGCGCCTCTGGGGTTGTGTCTTCAGGTTTGGGAGTGGTGGGAGAGTCTGCTTCAGTTATTGATTCCTCTGTGGCCTCAGGGGTTGTATCTTCTACCTTAGGGGTTGTGGTAGGGTCTGCCCCTGTTGTTGGTGGCTCTGTTGGTTCAGGGGTTGTGTCTTCAGGTTTAGGGGTGGTGGGAGGGTCTGCTTCAGTTACTGGTTCCTCTGTGGCCTCAGGGGTTGTATCTTCTACCTTGGGAGTTGTAGTAGGGTCTGCCTCCGTTGTTGGTGGCTCTGTGGGTTCAGGGGTTGTGTCTTCAGGTTTAGGGGTGGTGGGAGAGTCTGCTTCAGGTACTGGTTCCTCTGTGGCCTCAGGGGTTGTATCTTCTACCTTGGGAGTTGCAGTAGGGTCTGCCTCAGTTGGTGGTGGCTCTGTTGGTTCAGGGGTTGTGTCTTCAGGTTTAGGGGTGGTGGGAGAGTCTGCTTCAGGTACTGGTTCCTCTGTGGCCCCTGGGGTTGTGTCTTCAGGTTTAGGGGTGGTGGTAGGGTCTGCCTCAGTTGGTGGTGGCTCTGTTGGTTCAGGGGTTGTGTCTTCAGGTTTAGGGGTGGTGGGAGAGTCTGCTTCAGGTACCGGTTCCTCTGTGGCCTCAGGGGTTGTATCTTCTACCTTGGGAGTTGTGGTAGGGTCTGCCTCAGTTGGTGGTGGCTTTGTGGGTTCAGGGGTTGTGTCTTCAGGTTTAGGGGTGGTGGGAGAGTCTGCTTCAGGTACTGGTTCCTCTGTGGCCTCAGGGGTTGTATCTTCTACCTTGGGAGTTGTGGTAGGGTCTGCCTCAGTTGGTGGTGGCTCTGTTGTTTCAGGGGTTGTGTCTTCAGGTTTAGGGGTGGTGGGAGAGTCTGCTTCAGGTACTGGTTCCTCTGTGGCCTCAGGGGTTGTATCTTCTACCTTGGGAGTTGTGGTAGGGTCTGCCTCAGTTGGTGGTGGCTCTGTTGGTTCAGGGGTTGTGTCTTCAGGTTTAGGGGTGGTGGGAGAGTCTGCTTCAGTTATTGGTTCCTCTGTGGCCTCTGGGGTTGTGTCTTCAGGTTTAGGGGTGGTGGTAGGGTCTGCCTCAGTTACTGGTTCTTCTGTGTCCTCAGGTGGTGTATCTTCTACCTTAGGGTTGCTGGGAGGGTCTGCCTTGGTTGGTGCTTCCGTGACCTCTGGGGTTGTGTCTTCAGGTTTAGGGGTGGTGGGAGATTCTTCTTCAGTTACTGGTTCCTCTGTGGCCTCAGCTGTTGTATCTTCTGCCTTAGGGGTGGTGGGAGAGTCTGCTTCAGTTACTGGTTCCTCTGTGGCCTCAGCTGTTGTATCTTCTACCTTAGGGGTTGTTGGAGGGTTTGCCTTGGTTGTTGGTGGCTCTGTGGCTTCAGGTGTTGTGTCTTCTACTTTGGGAGTGGTGGGAGGGTCTGCCTTGGTTGGTGCTTCCGTGGCATCTGGGGTTGTGTCTTCAGGTTTGGGGGTGATGGGAGATTCAGCCTTGGCTGTTGACGCTGCTGTTGTCGGTGGGGTATCTATGAGAACATATATATATATTAAGACATTGGAATTGCCGTGCATACACCTATTTCATACTAATTTATTATAGTAATTAGAAATAGCAATTTACCTTTTGAATAGCAATAGTTGTTTTTATGGTTTTTACTCTAAAATCTTACTGTGTAAAATTGCATAAATTAAAGTAATTGAAAAATTTAAAACAGGGAGGAAGGAGAAAGGATATGTGGTAACCTAGGTTAAATTGGTAAATGCTAGTTATGGACTTAGGTAATTGTCAGAAGATAAATAATGTAGAAGAGCAAAGCTAATCTGGACTGTGTTAGATATGAATTCCTTTTGTCTGCATAGGAATTTGCAGCATATCAGCTAAGTTTTTAAGTAATTCTATTGGTTAACCTGTCACAACTCTGAATGCATCACGGCAGATTTTAGTTCGGTGTTTGCAGGTGGGACTACTTCTTGTTTCCATCCCTTTTCAGGGAGGAGGAACTATGCTGGAAAACATAGTCCTTCTGATAAGATGCTTCTCTTCCCAGTCTGTTCTTTTGATTTATTCCTCTGATCTTCATTATAAGATAGCCTGTACTGATGACCTAGACTTGAAGGAAAGGTAGGGAAATGAGAAGAAAGCAAACTTTCTGAACACAGACATCTGACTGCATCTCCTACTGTATATTTATCTTGGATAATTTTCCTTTTTGTGATTTACAGCTTTAAGAGCCACTTCAATGTATATATATATGGTTACACTGACATGTCAAATTGTTTATATGGCTATATTCAGCAAAAAATAACTGTAAATGTTTCTGCATTTTAATCTGTCACTGTTGTCTTTCTGAGGTTTTGCTGTTTAGTTCTGTTTTCACTTTTTTTTTTTCTTTTTTGTTTAGTTTCTGCAGTCTCTCTCCCAGAAGACTGGAACAATTTATAATATTGCAGTGTGAGTAATCTCTGTGTAAATGTATTGTAGAAATAATAACATATTCGTCACTGACATGGACAGTGGGATTGAGTGCGCCCTCAGCAAGTTTGCCGATGACACCAAGCTGTGTGGTTCGGTTGATATGCTGGAGGGAAGGAATGCCATCCAGAGGGACCTTGACACACTTGTGAGGTGGGCTGATGCCAACCTCATGAGGTTTAACCAAGCCAAGTGCAAGGTCCTACACCTGGGTCGGAGCAATGCCAGGCACAGCTACAGGTTGGGCAGAGAAGAGATTCAGAGCAGCCCTGCGGAGAAGGACTTGGGGGTGCTGGTCGATGAGAAAATGAACACGAGCAGGCAGTGTGCACTTGCAGCCCAGAAAGCCAACCGTATCCTGGGCTGCATCAAAAAGAGTGTGACCAGCAGGTTGAAGGAGGTGATCCTGCCCCTTTACTCTGCTCTGCTCTTGTGAGACCTCACCTGGAGTATTGTGTGCAGTTCTGGTGTCCTCAACATAAAAAGGACATGGAACTGTTGGAACAAGTCCGGAGAAGGGCTGTGAGGATGATCAGGGGACTGGAGCACCTCCCGTATGAAGACAGGCTGAGAAAGTTGGGGCTGTTCAGCCTGGAGAAGAGAAGGCTGCGTGGAGACCTCATAGCAGCCTTCCAGTATCTGAAGGGGGGCCTGTAGGGATGCTGGGGAGGGACTCTTCATTAGGGACTGTAGTGACAGGACAAGGGGTAGCAGGTTAAAACTTAAACAGGGGAAGTTTAGATTGGATATAAGGAGGAAATTCTTTCCTGTTAGGGTAGTGAGGCACTGGAATGGGTTGCCCAGGAAGGCTGTGAATGCTCCATCCCTGGCAGTGTTCAAGACCAGGTTGGACAAAGCCCTGGGTGATATGGTTTAGTGTGAGGTGTCCCTGCCCATGGCAGGGTGATTGGAACTTGATCTTAAGGTCCTTTCCAATCCTAACTATTCTATGATTCTATATGAGCACAGAGTTGCAGAATAGATTTTCCTTTCATTCAATGTGTCTGAAATACCCAAGTGGATCCTGTTAATGGTTATTTGAATTTCCTTAACTTTGTTTCATTTAGCCCACTATATTTTTCTTTTTCATAATGGGATGTTGCCACATTAGAAAGGTAAGTATGATAAATTTTAAATTAAAAAACAAAACAAAAGAATGACTGTTAAAATATTGGCCAAAATTGACTCCCTAGTCTCATTTAATTCTTGTTATTTCAGCTTTAGATTTCAGACTGAACCTGAGTTATCACTTAAAATGCTGGAGCAGAATACCAAAGTACACAGGAAAGCAACATATTTTCCATTCAGAAAAAATAAATCATATGTTTTCTGAAGCAGCATGAAGCCTGGTTTGATTAAAGCTAGAGAAACCTGCTAGGAGATTTTCCTGTCTTGGTCCTGCCAATTCATCACTGTCTCAAAATACAACACCCTTCCTGTTCCAGTCCTGTTTGGACTTTGTCCAAAACTGACAACGGTGTGTAACGCTTTTGGAAGATGTGTTTGAAAATCCAGTACAGACACAGGATACATCACCGCACTCCAACATCTGTGCTAAATGAACTCTCCAGTATCCTGAGGCCTAGGTGAGGTAATTAGTTTATGAACTGAGCAGTTCCAAAGCTTGCTAACTGTGGGGTAATGTCTCGCACTGGCTTTCTATTTCTAGAGCAGGAAAATGGTCTTTAATGTTCCTTCAGGTAACACCCATCCTGTTTCATTCATACACTTTCCTACCTTCCATAACTTCATGGTGCTGTGTTACTTCCTCTGGCTTTTCCTCATTTTTGGATGATCTTTTAGATGTTGATTTGTCTTCTAGTGGTGACTTTTCAGCGTGTGCTGAAAGAAATAAAATAATCTGTTAATGGGAGCATTTTTATTCATGGATGCTCAGTCTCAACTATATAAAATGAAAGTGATTACAAAATTTCATGCAGGTTTATTCTTGTCCTACAGGATTCTGTAAAGTATTATTCAGGAGGGAAAGAGCAAAAATACTCTATGGATCTCTAAATGTTTCATCACAGACAGGAGAAATGTTTTCCCCGAAAGTCTGAAGTGAGGCCTTCTTCGCTAATGGCAATTTTGAGGTGGCAAAAAGATGAATTCTGAGTGGGGTTCTATGTTCTAAAAATTCATAAAACTTTTTCTGGCAGCATAGTTTTTTGACAATAGATGACCTGGGACTAACTCACTGTAGTGGATCTCTGAGAGCTATTGTAATTGCCAAGCATTTACTTTGATAAACCCCTGAAGATCTAGTTATTTTGTAGTACTTCAGATGTGATAATTCTATACAAGTGATCATTTGGGAGAGACTTCTTAAAAGCAGTAGTTCCGTTGAAATAGATAGGAGCTACAAAGCAGGCATGGACCAAAGAAGCCACACAAGTTCTAAGAATTATGCTAATGTCTAGTAGGCTGAGTTTTAGGAGAAATGAGGTTTGTGTTCAGATTTTCCAACTCTGAAGGTCGCATGGGAATTCACTTGCATCCAAGTAAGTGCCAGAATTTATCACTGGATCAAATTGTAGAATTGGGAGTGACACTCTCTCTTCCCCCTAGCATAGCCTTGTAGAAGGATCTTGTGAAAAAAGTGCGATGGAGCTCAGGGAGCTTGCAGAATCTATTTACATCCAATCAAAGGAGCTGGTAGCTGCCACAGGTACGTGTGATCACCTTGTTACAAAAGGAGACGTAGTTTTGTCTCATAAGGTGATGACCATGGTATCAAGGTATTTACTTTCATAGCCAAGCTAGTACTCTGAGCAAGCAAGGTTGGGTGTTGGACTATTTTTGTTGAACTACCTTGGTGATGACTCCCATTATATCTACCTGTATGCATCCAAAAAGTGTTCATGCTTGAGAAAATGGTAAATTTATTTTTGAAATTAGACCTTTTTTTCCATTTTGTTGGTTTTTTTTTTTTGTTTATTGTTGGGATTTTTTGGTTTTGTGGGGTTTTTCTTTCTTTTCTTTTGGGGGGGGTCGTTGTTTGGGGCTTTTGTTTGTTTTTTTTTGGTTTTGTTTTGGTTTTGTTTCAGTAGTCAACTTCTTGCATCCTAAGAAGCCAGCGTTTTATGATAATGCAAAGCATCTTTGTTTAAATACATCTAAGAAAAATATAATGGTAAATTTCTTACCCTCTTCACAGTGTTCCACATAGTCTGGGCAACATTTGCCATATCTGCTGCAGTCTGCATCACAGTCACATTCTCTTCCTCTTTCAAAGGCTTCAAAGCAACGTCCTCTGCAGGAGAGTGCTACTTAAGGCAGAACAAGAAGGTGAGTAATTTTGGCTAGCTCACATTTGATGCTGGGACCTTTCTACAGTGAAGTCATTTGCTTCACCTGAGGTAAAGAACAGTTTCAAAAAGCCAGTGGTTATCCTGGTCTGATTCAGAACTTGTTTGTGTAACTGTGGGATTTGGATCAGGCTATACAACCAGAACTGCACTTTGCAACTGCAGTATATTGAGACCATTTAGAATTTATAATGGAATAAGGTGTGACCTCAACGTTCACTTTAGCTAGGTCCCATCATAGAAGGTTTCAGTTTCCTTGATCAAGCAGCAGTTATCTCAAGAATGGTATTTAAATTCTGGGTTGGGTTTCCAAAAAGGTGTTCATAAGGGTACCTCTCTGCATCGAGTGATGTGTCTAAGAAAGCATTTCTGAAAATAATTTGCCCAAATAGGTCATGACCAAGTGTACCTTGTGTCTCTGGGCAAATACTGCAACTTTATTGTGTGAATGAGTTAACAAACCTGCACAGTGACTAATTTTGAAACGTTATCCCAGTCTATTTAATACAATTCTTAAATTATTAGTATTGAAAGAGTATCTAGTGTGTTTTGACATAAGTAATAACCATGTGTTTTTAATATTTCATGATTGGTTAATTTCTGACAACTACAGTACTTCTGTTTCATATCAAATAATGTCCAAATTGTTTTGGAAACTGTGTATGCACATATTACAGATTTTAGCAAAATATGCTTGCTGTATTTTTCAAGGACAAGTTTTGACCCTAAACATTTCCATCACATTACAATCTAATATTTATTAACATTCTGTAGTACCTTTAATAGGTACTTAGTTAACTATTAAGTTGCAGTGATTACATTAGACCTGAAGTGAGTATTTCTGGAGGATGCTTAGTATCTCACAGTATTGAGACAATAACTGACTATCACTTGGTATTTCCAGAATTTATCATATGATCTGTTATTCTGGTCCTGTATCTTTTCTGTAGATAAATCTCTATTGAAATCATTGTCTCTGTGGCATGCATGTGGCACTATCTATCAAAATCAGAATTAGTGTATAGGCAGATTCTGAAATTCTTTTGACCAATGTAGATGTGGATTGAGTCTGTTAATGCCAGTGAATTTATCCCACATGCACAAGTGAATATCGTTTTATGATGTTAGGGTTTATTTTATTCATAAACAGTGTCTGGCATTTCTCTAATTTAGTCAGCACCGATCACACACTAGCTGTGCAACAGTCCTTAGACTGCCTGCATCCTTTTACGATGGTGCCTACTGTGCTTGCCTGAATTCAGCCATTTAGGATAGAATAGGGGAGACTTCCTCTAGCCTTAAGCATTTTATGAAGTGTTATATAGATGCCAGAATAACTTTGGAACTGAGCCCACAATAAGGCCAGGTTGGATAGACCCTTGGGTAACAGGGTTTAGTGGGAGGTGTCCCTGCCCATGGCAGGGGGGCTGGAACTAGATGATCTTAAGGACCTTTCCAACCCTAACTATTCTATGATTCTATGATTCTAAATAAATGGTCTACATAACTAAAATACCTCAGTATGTACTTTCAGTTATGAGAAATGCTGATGTTCCCTCACAAATCAGAATTGGGCTGGGAAGACTGAAAATGAAGGTGCTTTCTCTTTGTGTGTCAGAGTGGCAGAATTAGTGTTTCAAGGAGTGGTGTGTCTGCCTTTTAAACAACTCCTGGGCTATATTGCTGGATCTAAGAAGTCTTACACCTGTAACTTACTAGAACTGCAGTGTAGTGTAACAAGCTGCAGTGAGCTAAATTGCTGATATTTTTGACATTTGATTCATAATAAAATACTTCTAAACTCTCAGTAAAACAGTTTGAAATACCGGTACTTATTTAAACTATGCAGTTTTGCTTATAAATAAGACATATAAAATAATATTCGTCCAACCATCTTTTCAATGCAACTCTGGACATGGTTCTGATCCAGAGTGAATTTTTATTCATGGAAGGACCCTGACTTTGGATTAGACTTTACAGCCTACGCAATTCTTCAGTTTGAGTTGGGATGCCCCAGAATGTCTTCCTGAAAACCCCTGGATTTGTTTCTTCCTTTTTTTTTTTTTTTTTTTTTGTACAAGAGACAAACAGATACAGTACAAATGCACTAAGGAGAAGAAAGCAAGGAGTAAGCAAACTGTTTCCCCCCTCTTGCCTCTGTTCTTCTGAAAAGCAATTTTTTTTTCTCAGGGTAACTTGTGGATATACAATTTTCTTTGAATGGGTTGTGAGAGGTTATCACTGAGTTTTTGAGGGGGAGAACAATATGTATAGGAGAGGAGAACAAGGACACAGCAAACTAAGACATTTAAGCATTCAGAGAAGAGGCACTGGTGTGGTAGGGAGCTGGAGCAAAGGGGAGGGGAAGTTTTGTCAATAGGAACTGGCTGTGTTTGGGAACTTACCCACTGTGCAGACTTTCTTGAAGTCGGGGCAGCACTCCATGTAGTGATGACAGTTATAATCACATTGGCAGTCATGCTCTCTAGAATACCCTTGCCCACATCTCCCTGTACAGCTTGATAAATCTAAAATCACACAACACTGATGTAAACATTGCCAAACCAAAATGGTATGTTAGGAAATGTGGAGGTAGTAAGATTTATCTTTTCTTTCTACAGAATGCCATTTCTTCACTTGGTATTGCAAAAACTGTGGGCCTGATGCAACCCCTCCTGAAAGCATGCAGATCAGAGGTTTTTTCTGAGTCAGCCTGAGAACCAGCATCAGTGCACGTTCAGGTTAGAGGGGTATTCTGCTGAGGCTACCATATCCTATTTCTTCTTTAGATCAACAAATCCTTGAGGCCTGGTTGAGTAGTATGACCACAGCAGTTCTGCCATCCAAACTAGCTGGTGAAGATTTAACTTAGGCAGTACATCAGCCAGGCACTATATTGTTTTGCAGATTATTCTCCATCTTAATTCACCTTATGTATGGTATGACTGTAGATGTGCATCTGCCTAACTGTACCTGACAGCCCCATTAGGTCTGTCTGATTTTTACTTTTGGTAATGTTCTTTGTAATAATCAAATAAAATCTCCTGAGCACTGTCATAATAAATACAGGTCCCTGGAGCCATTCTTGCAATAAATTTTCAAAATCTGCCTGCCCTCTACATGTTTGGGTTTTTTCCTCTGAGGTCAATGTGGAATTTGGTATCAATTCTGAAGTTAGGAACAGTTGGGATCCACTCCTGCAATCTTCTATGAAGTATCTTTTCTGTTTTGTTAATTAGGAAATCACTTACTAGCATATTAACATAAATGTTCATTCCACAGTGGCTTTACTGCTAGACTGTTTTCAGATTGGAAAATGCTAGACAAAAATAAATAATAAATAAATAGTGCAGATTGCAACTGCTTTCAAACTGCAAGCATTCAAACTCAGCAGCCATTCGTTACCTTCTATTGCCAGATCAGATATTCACCCTGCAACAACTCCCCTTCCTACGTGAAATCTCTACTAATGTAACATGCTAACAGCTTCTTCTGGAAGTGAAACATGCAGGACCACAGGGGAAGTGCCCCTAAATACAAACAAAGAAGCTGAACAGTCAGCAAGCTAAAAGTGAAGATAATTAGCGTTGAGGAACAACAAGAAAATAACAAGAACTAACATGTAACAAAGCACAACACCAAAGACAATTTCTGACAGCACACACACAGTGTGTGTATGAAGGAAGACCAAGTAATAACAAACAATTATATATATATTGATTTTCAGCTGTTAGGTATAATGTTTGTTACCACTTTTTTACAAAAAAATGAAAGGGGACACAGTGTTATCACTATAACAACTTGATAGCTACTTGAGAGCTATGACAACACAAGGCTTGCCAGGGTGCAAATTCTTTGGTTTCTTCTTAATGGTGTTATTTTAGTTAGAAACCAATTACTGAGCTTTGAAAACAAATGCGAATCTGCAATATTAGACAAATAATTGCCAAAATTTGCCTTTGTGATGGTAGTAACAGTGCATTTAATGGCAAGACACTTAACACAGTATAGATATTCCTTTCCCTGAGCCTGTTATGTTTAAATAGTTATAAACAAGTTTTGTGGATACTGTAACTTTAGATTCTTCCTTGAATCATGCTGCAAATCACTTAGGCTAAATACGTCAGAGAGCAACAGGATCTGTATAATATGTCTACCAAAAAAAGAAGTAGGTTTCATACACATTTAGTATTCTATTCATATTTATATGTTACTCCTCAAATAAAATAGGACCATGCTGTACCAAGATATATTTATGAAAATATTCATTGATGATAAAGCTGAATCATAATTCCTGTCTGAATAAATGTAAAGTTCTAGAACTTAGTCTCTTTATGGAGATGCATTTGGAGCATTCTTACTACTTATTAGATATCCTAGACACCCTCCCTTCAACTTTGTATGTTACAGTACCTTGAGAAGACACTTCTTGAATCAAGGGCAGTGAAAGGATCACCAGGGAAACGCAAAGTATGTTCCATATGACCGTTACTTTCAGGTACGACATCATCCCTAAAAGGAAATAATCCCACATCACTACACGCAATTCAATTAATCAGTTCATAATTTTAAAAAAATGTAGTATGTACCTTTATACATAATACTTGTCTAATAACAATATAAAATTAATACTGAAATTGTTCAAGGACAAATTGCTAATTTAGAATTACTCCATGTGTTGTCTCTTATTAGTCAATTAGCTGTTAGATTTTGTAGTATAACTAGGAAAATTCATTATTAACACATAATGGAAGTAATTTTTTTTCAGAATTCTATTACCTGAAAAACCTAGTCTTTTTTTAACATAGATGCACTTCAGTACAATTGTTTTTAAGGTTATAATGCTAATAAATATAAAAGTAAAGCAAGAAAAACTACTATAAATACATTAGTTATTAAGCAACGCAATTTTATAGGCCATAACCTATCATTGGAATATTAGTGTTTAAATATGTTGAATGGAAATGCAGGATAAAAGTAAGTCTTCTTTCAAAAGGAAAACTTGTGTGTTTTTTCTGTTCCAGTTTATCCTTTTCCTTTTGAAGAAGTGAACTTTGGTCAGAATGCTCTTAGTAGAGACAGGTGTCACACTTACCTAACGAAGAATATGTCTGCTCTCAGTGATGTTTCAGATGCCTTATATATCGCTTTGTAACTGTGCTGGGGTTAACTAATTAGAGAGCTTGTTAAGCAAAACTGCCAATGACAGCTTATGACAGCAAACTTTCCACAAAACTTGGAAGAGGTCCCAGATGACTAGGCTGACACAACATCTGGAAAATACTCCCATTAAGAAAAATGATTACAGAAAAAGCTAAATAGGGACTTAGTAGTCAAAACACATTTTGATTGCAGAGTGAAATGAACAAATTGTCCTGAATGCATCTGGAAGGCATTAGATATTATTGCATAGCAATAAAAAAAAATCATTATAGGCAAAAGCTGACTATATTTTCTTTCCTGTCAAATGTAGCTTAGGTGACAGTAGCCTAAAATCCTGCAGTATTATCTGCTACTGATGGTGAATCTTCTCCAAAAAGTTTTAAGATCTAATTCATACAGCCATTAGTAATTCAACAGTTCCAGACTGAATATATAGTGCTTTTTCCTGAACTGAATGGAAATTTTGCCAAGGTATTGGCTAGAAATCAAAGAGTTTAGTTGACTCTCAAATCTATTGAATGTATTATATATAAAGAATCAAAATGAATTAGAGAACTAATTTTTTCCAGTGGTCACTGTGTTTATTGATACCAGATTCAGGATACTGGAAATGGTTATTTGTAACACTGTCTTAGAGCTAAAGGAGGTTTCTATTTAAACTTTTAATGATCCTGACTCTCAGGGTTTGGGAAGGATTTTTGGGAAGGGTTTGGGAAGGCCAGGGGACTTTGATACTTCTGTCTTGTGATATTGCAAAGTAATTCTGTTATCCTAAAATAAGAAGTATGGTATAATATACATTCATCCCAATTGAGGAAAGCACTTAAAATGAGCTTCAGTCTCTTAAGGAAAATAACGTAGATACCTCTGAGAAGGAGTGGGTTTAGTTATGCATGTGCTTGAATGTTTTCCTCACTTTGTCCATGTTGCACACTTTGTGAAACTGTAGTATTTTAATGCTAGAATTTCTTTCTAATTTCTTTATTATCCCAATAGAAGCAGTTTCATTCAGTCTTTCTGGATTTCTAAATTTCAAATTGCTTTCATATCACAGCCAGGCTTCAATTAGTTGATTCCAGTCAATGAAAGAGTGCTTAATCATTGCTCTAGGAAAGCATATAATCTTTGTGGAGTTTTTAGAGTTATTTAGACAGGTGTTAAGTGGGAGCACCTACATAATGTTGATCTGCTATTCAGTGTCCCCTGCCCACTGCCAACCTACTTATGAAGTAACTATTACTCTACTTTTTGGAAAAAGGAACCCAAGGATCTGAGATTTTATGGAGTTGATTCAAAATAATACATGGAAGGAAATATATATGACATGCCTTATACTAATATCTTCAGTGCTGTCTTCAGTGGAGCTGACTATAAACTTGATAAAGAACTGTGGTTTGAGAAGAAAAGTACCTGCTTATAGATATTTAAAGCCTAAGGAAGAAGTAATTGTTAGGGTAGCTAAATAGGATCAATATGATGAGAGTTTTTTTAGAAAACTACAAAAATGTTCAAAACTTAATTTATAATTTGATCAAGAACAACATTTAAGAATACATTATGAGTATATCCTTACTTTGATATCCATGGTATTGAAGAGATTTATTGACTCTTCCATCATCTCACATCTCTGAGTCACAGTTATACTGGCTAGCTACCTGAGGTGAAGAAATAAATACAAAGTAAAAATGTAACAGAAGATCAAAATTATTATCATGCTTCTATTAACATGTCAGTACTAAATTAAGTCATATGAAGACATACAGAACTTGAAAATATGAGTGCTCATGATTGGCTGCTGCATTTATTAGGCATCAGTATGTTTATTTTGGCAGGGTTGTATTTGATTTCTCTTAAAAATTAAGTTTTTGGACCATCAGGGGTGACAGGTTTCCAAAGTTTGAGTGATGAGAAGATAATAATTCTATGACTGGATTAACGGGATGTGGAAAACACTTTAGGCACCTTTAAATTGTAGTGTGTCATTGGCATTGAAATGGTATCTAAGCAGGCACTTCACAGCATGTGATCAGACAGCAGTGAAATGGGGTTTATAGCCTGAAGAGCTTCTGCTGGTCTTCCCTCTGTTTTCAGAGATGGACTTTGAAATCCTGCTTTAAATAATTGTTATGGTTTCTGGGAGGCAGTAAGAAATACACTTAAATATAGTCACAAACAGGGCACTCATGATGGACAGGGTTTACTTGCTACTGTTACGCAAAGGTTTGTGTGCCAGTGAAAAGGGTCTTAAGACTTACAATGAATAAGCAGGGAGCTGCTTGGAGGGGTAAAAAACAGATTTGGAGCTATAAAAAGAGAGAAAGGACAATGTTCAATCTTCTTATTTTTATTTCTGCTGCATTTAGGGAAAAGGGACTTGTTATGTTCTTGATGAGTAAAGATTCATGGCTTCACATTTTCATTTTGTCTTTGAGCAACATATGGAACCTAATATTGTGTTTGGTCACTCTAGCTGGAAAGAGATAACATTACTTTTCATCTGATCTCTTGTTGCTTCAGGTAGCTATCAACTGACCAGTCATTTCATTTGGCAAGTGTTTCAGGCAACATAAACTCTCTATTAAATCTTGCCATGTCTATCCAAAATCTTATCTGTGTTTCCCAACTTCATTTGTTGATTAATTTTATTTTATTTTTTAAATTACTATTAATTTTTTTAAATTACTATTATTGTTGTTTTTTATTTCTGGATTAATGAATTCCTTACGTTGATGCCTGTGGCTCAGCTGTATTCTTAAGCTTTTTCAGGCCTTGTTTATTTATTTATTTTTTTGGAAACTCCTCAGTCAGCCACATTTATGATAGTGGTTTTGGGATGTGTTCATATTCACTGGGGTTCACATGGAAAATACAAGCCAGTGAAATCCCAGGCAACAGTTGTTAATCTGGATCTGCTCTGACAAACGCTTTATTGCTTTTTCAGTCCCATCGTTGAACCCCATTCTTAACCCCTCAGTATCCTCAAAATACTGTGTTATTTTCATTTTTATAAAAACAAAGTTACATTTGAAGTGATCTGAATCTTTAGGAGATCTTGGGTCTAAGAGCAGATAAATTCTTCCCAGGAGAATTTATATAGAGAAACTGAGCAGAGCAAGAGTGAAGAAAACAGAAGAGCATGTACTGGGTACTGTTGGGTCTGTTAAATACTCACTGATTAGTGTACCTCTTTTTAATTTTTAACCTAGCAGGAATTTAATTGGAAGTGAAGTGAGAGTGCTGGAAATATCACTAAATGATTTACTTAGAAAAATCATGAAGAATCACAGAAAACTTTTGCTCTTGCAGGAAGGACTGACACGCTTTCAGGTTTATGGTGGTGGAGGGACAAGGAAGGAGAATGATGTAGAGGAGGTAAAAGCCCTGGTGTGGGAAGGGCATGGAGCTACAATTAATTCTGCTGTGGCGCATCTGATAATTGATTGAAGAATGCTTCCCTGTATTGCCTTCTACGATCAGTTACTTTTTCCATGCTGGAACTGGCTGCATTTTATTGGCAAATTTTATTTGATTATAGAAAAGAAAATCTTGATTTTTAAGAACACCTAAATATGCTGACATTTAAGACAAAAGAATATTAATACGATAGTTTTGCTGTGATTTATGAGTAGCAGCGGTATCGCAATGAATTCTGTTGTAGCAAGCTGCTACAGCAGCTTGCAGTAGTAAGGGTCAGGTGGTCACATGCATCATCCATTGATGTAAATATAGACTCACTGCATTTTTCCAATTTGTAAAAGTTGAGAGAATTGTTTTAAAGTAAGAATTTGAACAATATGATTTAGAAATAGATTTGTCCTCAGAGATAATAGATAAGCCCATAATGATAGGTGGATGAGAAGGACAGAATCTGCATGTTTGATTTACTTTAATAGTAATTATATATAATGTATAGTAACTATATACAATTATATAACTATTCTGGAAGGGCCTTTAAACTCAGTACAGCTGCAGACTTCACTGAATATCTTGAAGTGCAGCAGAAGCAGAAGCAGAGCACCTGACTGGTTACATCTATAGATGTATCTACCTTGACTTTCTCCAAATCCTTGGCCCCAAGACTATGTCTTTATAGCTGTCATAATATTTCCTCTAACAATTTCCTCTAAAAAATATTGTAAAGGTTTTTATCCCAAAGCTAGAGCATGGATTTATTTGCACTAACACAATCTCATTGTGCATGGACTGTGTGCTTTGATTCTTACAACTGAGCAGACTTTTAGTGACAGAAAAGTACAGGAGAAAATCTCTCAAAGAACAACTGGCAGGATAGGACCTGACTAAATCAGAAATATTCATTGTCTTTCTTTCACAGTATAGGAATTATATCCTTCTTAACTTTGGTTTAGTGCAAGGGTTATTGATTAGGATCAAGATAGCCTAGTAAAATGTGATTACTGCTTTGTAAAATGTTTCACAAAATGAATTATATTCCATATTGTTTGCTGTTTTTAAATTGATGCAGTGTATGGACTAATTCTGCTGAATAATAGCTGGAAGAAAATGGGATTCAACTATAGGAAGGAAAGATTTTCATGCAAGATTTGATTAATATGAAGAATGGGACGTGATAAGAAGAATAAGGAAAATTAACATGAGAAAGGGTGCTTCAGGTAGGAAAAAGGTAAATCTAGGAGAGTAAGATGTTATATGTGTCTGTTCACAACAAGCTATTATGCTTACCATTTAAACAAGGAATTCTCAGTTTAACAGTAGCAGTTGAGTTTGCACTGGCTTCTGGTTAATTTGTGAATGAAAGATGCAGAAAATTCTTCCAGGCCACAGTTACTTCATTACCACCTAAAGACTGCTAATAAAGACACCCAGAAACAGTCACCACTTTGACTGAAGAATAACAGCCTTGCTTTGGCAAAATAGCAGTGAAAAAGTGTCAGAATGTTTTGGGATGGTTTTTGTTGGTTTTTTTTTTTCAGACTTGGTATGAAGTAATTTTCTTGTAACTTGAAGAGTCATCTGAAACATCACACTCAGGCTACTATAAATAATCCTTTTAACACATTCTTGAGCTTTCACTTCTTATGTATTCAAGCAATGGTGGTCTCAGTCCTCCTGGGAAGTTGAACACACACAGCACGACTGCAGCAGCTCAAAACAGAGCACTGAGACTCAGCAACCTGTTAGCAATTTAAATGTAACAGGAAGATTCTGATAACAAGTAAAATGGTTGCAGAAATATAAATTACTCAGCAAGGCTATGGTATATTGCAGGTTGTGCTGTGCTGATCTAAATCTGAAAAAAGAATAATCTGCAGCAAAGGCAGGATTCTGAGCCTGATATGTTGAGGGAATAATAAGGCAAAATGAAGAAATTTAACCAGCTTTAGTTGTTTATCATCCAAATATTTTTCTGGTCTATCAGGAAATTTATAGGCATTGGTCTCTGTTTGCCTATATTTAAATCTGAGGTTAGAACCGAAATAATATTAGGTTTTAGAAATCTAAAACTGAAAGTTCACCAATTACTAGTTTCCCAACAGCACAGTTAGCTAGGAGCTCCCTTCCTGCTGGGAGTTCTTTACTTCCCTTACACAGTCCTCTTTCACAGCATGGGCTACCATAATTAAAAGCTACTGTTAGGGTTGGGCAACTGAACTAGTCCCATACCCTTCCTGAGATGCTTGAGGTTGGGGTCAAGGTCAAGCTTTGGCAAGATGAGTCTTCAAGAACTCTGTAGATTTTAAAAGCCCCAAGAGTTAAAAGAGGTCTGGCAGTAGTAAGGATTGGTGTTTGTCTGTTTAAATGATTCATCCCGCCTTCTAGACTTCAAATTAAATTTATGGTTTGAATTAAAGTTATATTGTAAGACTCTAGTGATTCAACTTTGTGGCATTCAGTTTTAGGAAGTTGTCTGGCAGGGCCTGTTTACTCCCATATACTGTTAGGATTGATCAATATCCATGTTACTAAGCATATTATTTGTGCTCAGACTTAGGGCTTCTGGCTTGAAGCTCAGGTACTAAGAGGATAAAAGGAGGGCTTAGGATTGAAGATGATCTTCTGTGTTATTGTTGGTATTGATCTCCCAAGTAACATCTGGGTTTAGGGGTTCATGTTATTAGGATCCTTATTTATGGTTATATTCCATATATGCTTAGTAATAGCATTTCAGTGTATTTCATTAATGTTTGATTTACATGTTTCAGTTTCGACCTAAAATTTTCACGTATTGGTGTGTTTCAGTTGCCCATTTCACTCACTGCAAAGATTGGCCTCATTCTTATAACTGAGTTTAGCATGAGCATGTGGGTTGGAGTTTTTATCTGTTAAAAACAAGAGGGGTGAAACCATACTTGGATAAGAAATTGTTTCATTCTTAAAGCAATTATAGTGCCATACTGTATTCCACAGACACTGCAGGCTTAAGCAGTGATTTAGTGTTAGTAGGAGAGAATGTCTAATGTACTTAGGGTTAGGGGTTGGAAACTCAAAGGCCAGAAATTTGTGACCTGTATGTAATCTGAAGGCAGAACAATGATGACTGCTTGTAGAATATATGAATGTGGTGCATATCCAGGGAGTAGAAGATTAAAGGCTATCAATTTCTGTGCTCTAGGTCTTGATTAATCTTCAGTTAGCAACAGGAAAAGAGACCTTTTTCTTCCGTAAGGCGTAGCATTGAAGTGTTGGTGCATCAAGTTTTTGCACCTCAGTGTCATCACTGTGAAAGGAAGGGACAGGATGCAGAATTCCAGCAAATGTGTCCTATGTTTTCTGGAGCTAACATCTGAGAATGAATCACTACCTTAGTGTGTCACTGAACATAGTCTGCTCTCTTTCTGTTACAGTATTGTTTGCTGATGGCTCCTTAACTTTTTGAGGGACTCTGAGTTGTAGAGGACTGCAAGTAGCAGAAAGTTTCTCCAGTGAGTAGAAAATTCAGGAGTTTGCATCACTCTCTGAATGGGGTGGGACCTACATAGGCAATAAATAACTGCCATCAATAAAAGCTGAGTTTGAAAAATGATTTACTTTCCTTGGCTGGACTGTGAAGATTGCTTTTCTAGTGTAGACTGTGTGAAGGAACCTCCTTTTTTTTCCCCAAAAAAATCTAGATTGGGTTTTGGATGTTAGAATCTGAAATGAGGAAGAAGGTGCATTTGTAACTGGGATGCCACAAGAAAGTGTTTAAGGGAAGGAGCAGGTCATCATTATATGCTCCTGTTCTTCCAAATAAAATCTTGTCCTTGACTTTTATACCTCTGCTAGCATATTCCCTTGCAGGCTCTCCTCTGCTGGGCACTCTTAAATTGGCAACCAAGATTTTTTGTCTGCCGAGTATTCCTGAGTGCACCAGGGGTTTTTAAACTACTATTGTTTCGTAGTAATATTTTCATAATGTTCAGAATCTATTAGATGCTTTTCAGAACAGGCTTTGGCTTTGGTAAAAATGGTTCTATAAAGTGAATTGTTTCAGGCTTTGGTATTTAAATTCTAGATCAATTTGGTTTTTACTTTTAGTGCATTAAAGTGATTTTAATATCCAAATACTTAGAGTTGTGAGAATAGGACAGGTTAAAGGGTTACATTTCTGAGAAAAAGAAACAAACCAAAACAAACAGGTAGGTATTTTTTTAAGCTTATGTCATCAGAGGGGTAGATCACAAATTGCAAGTGCAAGACTACTCCAAAACAGGAACTCAGTGGCTTGAACTGTCTCTATCAGCCACGCTGGACCATAGGAAAATGGACAGACAGGCTGATACAGTTTTACACAGGTATGAGCAATACAGAATATCAGCATCACTCTGCAAAAGAGCTTCTGGTGTGTTGTCTTTTTTACTTGATGTAAGACTTTCTAACCATGAAACTGTCTCAAACACTTTTGTAAGGAGTTGAGACTGCTTGTTTTTTTGGTATAGCTGGCAGCAAATTACATTGTTCTGCAGCTTGGTAAAGAACCAGCTCTAATTAAAATCTGCATGTGTTAACATAGTGCAAACCTGTGCTTCATTCAGTTTGATTTATATAAGGAAGACAGACAAATTTGCATATTATGCAACCTCTGATAGAGCTTCAACACTTATTCCTAGAAGTGCATTGAAAATGAGTGTGTAAACGTTGTGCCTAATTTGCACAGGATGAAGAAAAAACTCAGTTATTTGTAGTAGTTTACAAATGTGATGATAAATATTTAATTTAGGACCTTGCTACAAGTAATAACTAAATGATCATAGAAAGGCATCAAGTAGAGAAATTCCCTAAATTAATTATTTACATCAGTAGAATATACGCCTAAAGTAATATAGTATATTGTAACGTGTTCAGGCATATTACCTCTTAGTGAAGAACTACAAAAGATCCAAACCTTTTTTTTTTTTCCCTTTTCCTTCTTTCTGTAATAGATTTTTAAACCTTAGACTGCTTTGTTTTTAAATTCCTAGGATTTATGCAGAAGGTAAGTATTTCCCATTCTAAAAGAGTTTCAGAATACATACAAATCCTGAATAGTCTTGTTGAGATTATTGTGGTGTGTGTTTCAAGTATTTTTGAGAGAAACATGAAGGACAGACTGGTAATCTGTCTGTCCTGTTCTGTAGGTGGTATAGATATGGGATGAGCCCTTTTGTTTCACTTCACGTTTACTGAAATAAATTATGACTATAGGTTATACTATATTTGATATATAGTATATATACCAAATATATTCTGTTTTAACCAGCTACATCATTAGATCCAGTGATAAATTGAGACAATTAAGGTAATTTTAAACATCACATCAATGAGAAGTTTAGCAGTGGTGTTACAGGCATGCTTGAACCTGGAGCAGTAGGGTTCAAGGAGACCTTAGAAGACATAACTAAAGACTGAAAGCATAAATGAATCCCTTAGTATTGGAGATGATGTATTGGTTTGTTTAGCTGACAGGGTGTTGATGGTAATGGGTTGGGCTGCAGACACAGGACGTGTGAGGTGAAGCAGAATTTGGCGTCAGTGACCAGCTACCAAACTGCAGGCAGTGGGGGCTAACTGGAATATACAGTCACGAGGGAAACAGGAATGGCCTTCGCTGCCAGCAGATAGGTTTGTGGTTTTGTCTTTGGGAATCCTATGAGGGTTGTGTGAGATGGCTGTGGAATTTGCAAAGGTTGCAGGAGTTTGGCATCATTTTAGGGCTGATGTATTCTTAACATTGTGTTCCAGGGCTCTGGGCTGATGACTGTTACTTAAAGGCAACACCCTAGATTTCTTCTCCTGAGGGCTTGTGTTACTCAGCAAGGTTAATTATGTGGCCAGATAAAACTTTGTGGTTATTGTAACATGTTGTTGAGATTTTTCTGGTGACATTTAGACCAGCATACTTGAGAAATTCAGGGTCCATTCAGTGAAATTCAGTGGATTTAGTGAAAGTAGAACAAGTGGTCTGAAAGTATTAACCAAACCCCATGGTCTGATATGGAATACTGTGAACATTTTTGGCTTCCCATACACAAGTTACTGAAACTAAGACAGGCAATACTAAATAAAGTAATGGAAAGATGTGAGAGGAAACCATAGAAGAGTTCAGTTTGTTAATTCTAGCAAAGAAAGGCTTTGATTTATGTGTGTAAATACCTTCAGGCAATAAGAATCCGGGGCGGGGGGGGGGGGGTGATGATGATGACTGTGTAGAGAGTTACTTAAAGAGCAGCAGCCACCGAAAGTCAAGTAGTTTTAAGCCATCTGTAAGAAAGATTATGCAGGAAATTAGAATAAGGTTCTTAAACATTGTATCAGTGATAATTTGAAAGAGTCTTCTGATCAAATGAGTTTTAGGAAGGAGCTGTGTACATTTTTCAACTAGGTGAAATGCTGTGGGAGAAGGATCTCAGTGACACGCGAGTTCCTTACTGGTGTCTCTCTCTTGCTGTCCTCTCAGTCTGCATCCCTGAAAGAACAGTGAAATTGAGGTTGTATTATTGACCTGTTGTGATTTTTGCAAGCCAATTACTGCAACGCAGTAGAGCAGGGACAGTTATTTTAGAGACATTACTTCACTGTAAATGGATCTGATTAATTTCCAGTTACTAAGTCATGTATCACAGCCATCTGTTGAAGAGTCTTATTTGGGCAGCCTGTAAAATTTTGCCATTACATAATTATATGGAGATGCAACAACAGTCATTTCCCAGCTTCCTGATGCCGGGGCACAAATGTCAATGGCTCTAATATTTTACTGCAATCCCCTTCCTTCTGGGAGTAGTTGTAGCTTTCTCAGTGGTTTGTGGTACCTGGGGTAAGGAGAGGAGAACTCAGTTGTTCTCTAAACTTTGTCCTTCTGCTCTGTGAACTCCTTGTTTCTCTTTCTGGTTTCTCTTGTTAAGCATGAAATGTAAGTAAATTTTGATGAGAATAAGGGTAAAAACCATGGGTACCACAGTAGTAGTAAAAGATAAGGCATATAGCATCTGCAGCTTTGTGTCATATAAAATGATATAATTTACTCATCCTTTTTGTTCAACAGTTTCCCACACAGTTTTAGTTTTGTTTTTGTTTTTTGTCTTTTAGTATCAGAAGGAATGTTTCAGATGATTATATTATTGTTGCAGGTAATGTTAGACCATCTTGATCACAGTACAAGGCTGTCTTTTACTCCAGTTTTGGAACCAAAGCTAAATTTAAATGTGTATCTTCTTAATGACAAAGAGGATCTCTGAAAAATATCTCTGAAATACCAGTTTAAGTTAAAACAAGTTAATTTAAATGTAACTTTCCTAGTACACATATTTTGTAGCAAAATCATATCACTAAATAGTGGAGAGTGAGAAAACGTACACATTTGCCATTAGTCCTTCCTCATAACTGTTGAAGGAAAGGAAATATTCATATTAGCCCAACTATAATAAGGTTATGTTCTTTTGAAGTCCATTCCAACCTTACATTTTTTAATAAAGCAGTTTAATTAATGAGTCTCAAATTTAGCTGTCTCAGTTAAACTGCAAATAATCATTTGGACAATGAAGATGTCCATAGAGGATGATAAATATCTATAGTTTTCTCTCCTTTTATTTTTTTCCTGTGAACATCATGCATGTTCACCCCCAGGACCTTTGACTTCTGCCAGGACAGTAGTTTGCTC